TGTGAGTGCACTGACATGCAGATAGCGTGTGTGAATGCACTGACATGCAGATAGCGTGTGTGAATGCACTGACATGCAGATAGCGTGTGTGAATGCACTGACATGCAGATAGCGTGTGTGAGTGCACATCATTGTTTTTAGGGCTTTTGGCCTCATGTTTGAGTGCATGGGTACAAGGGGCCTTGGCAGTGATGACTGAGATGGTGGTTCTTTTTACCAATGCTGCTAAGCATGTTCTACATTCTGCAGACGAGGTTTCCCATCAGGATTGGGGGAGATGCCATGCCTTTCATGCCAATCAGCGCCCTTGTCTGCTCGGCCGCAGGAATGTGTGGATGAATGTTTCTTCAGTGGGGGGCATGAGTGAGAGCTGCCTCCGCGTGTGGGGGGGACACCTGCTCACTGCAGGACACAGGAGTCTGCAGATTGCATATTCCATGCCCTTATGGGAGAGTGGTCCCCACACACATATAGGGGGCACTGTTAGCCACGCCCATATGGAGGAGCAGCTCGTTTAAATGCCACCGGAGTAAAATTTATGTGTAGGACGATGAACTTTTAATTACAGCTACACACTGGCATTAAGTGCTAAACCAGTTTGAGTCCCAGGGATCCAGGGCCAGTCCTGGGTGGCACAGGCAGGGTACAGCCATACTGGGAGACTCTCAGGGCTGTAAAATCAGTGAGTGTGTATGGGGGAGGGAGGGAGGGAGGGCTGAAAACAGAAGACGAGGTGATGGCTGGCCACTGCTATCACCACGTTGGGGGTATGTTTAGACACCGTGTTTGCAAACTGTTAGCGACAACATCCTAATCCTCTCTGCCATATGCGAGGTGGTTAATGAGCAGCCACAGAGCATATACACACAGCTCTCCCCCTGTTTGCACACCATAATACCTTCATATCATTTTGAGATGTACCTATGAGACCCTTCAGACTCTTTGAGACACCGTGAGACTAAGTTAGCCTCTTTGAGACTCTGAGAGACTATGGCTGACCCTTTGCCATCCTGTGAGACCCTTTGAGATCCCCTGTGACTGTGAGAACCTGTGAGATGATGTGGCACCCTGTGAGACTCTGTGAGACCCTTTAAGATACCCTGTGACTGTGAGAACCTGTGAGATGATGTGGCACCCTGTGAGACTCTGTGAGACCCTTTAAGATACCCTGTGACTGTGAGANCCTTTAAGATACCCTGTGACTGTGAGAACCTGTGAGATGATGTGGCACCCTGTGAGACTCTGTGAGACCCTTTAAGATACCCTGTGACTGTGAGACCCTGTGAGATCTTATGAGACTCTGAGACCTTTTTAAACACTGCAAGACTCTCTGAGACACTGTGAGACCCTTTGAGATCCCGTGAGACTGCAAAAGTCTGCGAGACTCTGTGAGACTCTTTGAGATCATATGAGACCAGACAAGACTGTGAAACTTGGTGAGACTCTGGGAGACCCCGTTCATTTCTGGGGGGGGTCACCTGCATGTGTTGTATCTGCATTTCTCAGGGGTCAGTGTACTCTTTAGTGAAACATACAGCAGTACAAACGGACATCAAACTGCTGATGTAAAACATCATATCAGATTGGGGCATTTGCAAAGCAAACAGGAAATGTCTTGGAAATAAGAGACAGAGACCCCCCCCTCCACTACTGTTCCTTATGGGACTGCATGCTGTGAGATTTTTTGTTCAGTTACATATGTATTTAGAAGCAAGTGCCAATTTACCCGTCTGCTGCAGGAACCTTCCGGACAACTTCCATGACATTATTAGGGCCAGAGCAAGTGTGAGCGTGTAGATGCTTGTCCTCGAAGCAGATGCATTTCAAATGCTTTTGTAGGATAATTGCCTACGATGAGTAGGCAAATAAATACCATTGACAAAACAATGTCAACCTGTAAAATGTCTTTAATTCCGCAAGGCCTTTAAAGTTCAAGGGATCAGCATGACCAGTTGAAGCAGTGCTTGGATTTGCATGACAAATGAGCATGACTCATAACCACCTGACAGGCTTGATTTTTTAGGTATTTTTTAAGTTTCCATATTGCACTACTCCTTACGTGTGACCCTGTGTAAGGCGTTGCGGTCGCAGTATTTTACCGCGTGACTATGATGGTGTGTGATGACTGATACAGCTTGTGTGACCTTCTTTTGACAATGTTGCTATGCTCCTTCTATCTGAAAGGTAGCCCCCCCCCCCAGTCATTCCCTGGAAATGATGTCATATCTGGCATCATGATAAGGGTCCTTATCGCAAATGTTTATGTGCGGTTGGATTACTCTGGGCACTGGGAGAATAGTTACAAGCATCCTGGAACCATGGCGGGGTGAGTTAGATTATAAGGACTTGGTGACATTCAGTCCGATGCCTATCAGACCGTGGCTGCCCTATCGGACCACTGAGGCCATCTTTCTTTGATGTGTCGAGCCATTAGTGAAGCCTTCATGCTTCTCTGCTATTGGCCACCAAAGCGTGCCTTGCTGCTCTGTGCTGGAGGCGCCACAGCGGGGGGCACTGAGCGGAGGGTGCTGAGCAGAGGGTGCTGAGCAGAGAGCGGCACAGCAGAGGGCACCACGGAGGAGGGTGCTGAGCAACGGACATCACAGCAGAAATTGCTGCGGAGGAAGGTGCTCAGTGGAGGGTGCTGAGCGGAAGGCGCTGAGGGTTCCTCAAGTTGCGCTCTGTGTACTAGAGAAGGGCCAAGGGAAAGACTGAGGGAAACGCTTGGATGAATGCTGAGATATATGATACGCTGGTGCCAGTCCTATAACAGGATCTAACTGGAAAATAACCAGTGGCAATTAGTGTCCCCTCATGGCGCTTTGAAGCCGAGTGGGAGTGAAAGGGCAGCGTTTCCTCCTGGAGCGTGGAAGCTGCCTGCTGCAGCGTCCCCAGGGGCTCGGGACGTGCCGCATTCCATGCCAAGCTGGCACTGCGGAGACACCACGTCCTGCCAGATCTCCTGGGTGACCTCTCTCCCTCTTTTGCATACTCTCACTTTCACTTTTTTTAAAATGATTATGATGAGACACTAGTTGAAATAGGTTATTTCTGTTTTATATTCTGTTTGCGCTGGTACCAGTTACCCTTCTGCAACATTCTTCTGTCTTGTCTTTCTATCTTGTTCTTCTGGGTTGTTCTTCATAACACTCCTTTTTCACAGGGAAAATCTTTTATTTTGATCTCATGCATGAGGAACCCCCCTAATCTGCACAAAAGGGAGAACCCTTGCAATGTTCTGCTGTGTTGTCTTGTGAAGCTCTACCCAGAAGCCTTTGCAGCAGTGCTACTTTTCCTTGTGGAAATGCTGTCTCTTCAGTTCCTCACTGCCATGGTTGTCTCAACTTTGTTATCTAACTTTTCTAGACATGTGTCAAGTGAGATTCACAGTGTTGATTCTTGGGTGAGGCAGTGATGGGATAACTGCCAAAAAAAAAGTAAATCCAACATTGAATCAATCAGCAGAATACACCGCTGACTCCCTAGGGAGAGCACCCACTGCAGGTCACAATAGGCAGGGCATGGAAGTTGGCTTTGCAGGGTCTATGGATTGACCTCCCAAGATCGCAGGCCTTCTTCACTTCCCAGTCTTCACCCCTTTCCTGTTTTTGCCTCTTTTGTAACTACAAGAAATATGCTACTGTGTTGGGCCATCTCTGCATTTACCGTGAGCACTGTGTTGGGCCATCTGTCTCATTCTCGTCCAGTGTGGGGAAGCAATAAAAAAGGCCAATAGGATGTTGGGGTATATCTCCAGGTGTGTGCAGTTTAAGTCAAGGGAGGTAATGCTAAGATTATACAATTCCTTGGTGAGACCTCACCTAGAATATTGTGTGCAGGTTTGGTCACCATATCTTAAAAAGGACATTGCGGCCTTAGAAAAGGTGCAGCGTAGGGCCACAAGAATGGTTCCTGGTCTTAGAGGAATGTCATACGAGGAAAGGTTAGTTGAGCTAAATCTGTTCAGCCTCAAGCAAAGGAGACTGAGGGGGGACATGATCCAGGTCTATAAGATTCTAACAGGTTTGGATGCAGTTCAACCGAATAGTTACTTCAGCATTAGTTCAAATACAAGAACTCGTGGCCATAGGTGGAAATTAGCGGGAGAACATTTCAAACTGAATTTAAGGAAGCACTTCTTTACACAGTGTGTAGTCAGAGTATGGAATAGTCTTCCTGATAATGTAGTGCAAGCTGAATCCTTGGGTTCCTTTAAATCAGAGCTAGATAAGATTTTAACAACTCTGAGCTATTAGTTAAGTTCTCCCCAAGCGAGCTCGATGGGCCGAATGGCCTCCTCTCGTTTGTATAGTTCTTATGTTCTTATGTACCCTGAGCACCGTGTTGGGCCATCTGCAGGTACCATGAACATCGTGTTCGGCCATCTGAGGGTACCGTGAGCAACGTGTTCAGCCATCTGCGGGTACCCTGAGCACTGTGTTGGGCCATCTGCGGGTACTGTGAGCAACGTGTTCGGCCATCTGCGGGTACCCTGAGCACCGTGTTGGGCCATCTGCGGGTACCCTGAGCACCGTGTTGGGCCATCTGCGGGTACCATGAGCATCGTGTTGGGACCCTGGTCTAACATTGTCATTCATTCAGTTTTAAACCCAAAGTTGTTTGCTCAGCTGCTTTTCTTCATTGTGTTTTTGAGAGTTATTAGCTTATTTGTTTCAATTTGGTGTTTTCCTTGTTTGGTCTCATTCCAGTGACCCAGCCGTCCACCTCCAGGGCATCTGCGTGTCTGTGACAATGAGAATCCAGTGAGAAGAGGCCTAGGGCAGAAATACAGACAAGTACCACAGCTTCTTGCAGCTTCATTTCAGCCTTGGCGTGATCCAGCAATTGGTGCTCTGTGTCTCCTCAGTATCTAAAGAGGGGGCTTTAATGAGCTCTAATAAATAAAACAATCCTGCTTGAAGGTCTTTTTTTTCCTATATGCCATACTGGCCCGAATATAAGACGACCCTGATTATAGGACAACTGCCAACTTTTTTTGCAACTCTTTTGACAAGAACATATAATAAGTGAACCAATAAGTGTATTAAACAGCAAACATTCCAAACAAGAAGCATATTATTGGGTGGGGGGGGATTATTCTTAAAAACTCCGCAACCCTTGGGGGTGCAGAATGTTTTCGATGCAGCAGACCTACATGAACAGGGCAAAAAACATATTGCGGATAAAGGCTGAGCCATATTAATTATATTAAATATGGCAGCTCTTTTAAATTAAATGTTACTTTCTTTATTAACTACCACTATCAGTTTAATACTAACAGCAGCACAGGCATATGGAAGCCAACAATTTACATGACACTCAGGGATACATGCCAAACACATGCATTGCCAGTGCTCGACTAGCAGTTAATTTAACCTCCTCGGCTAACTGTGTTCTTAGATTCTTCAGCTAGCAGTGTGCTTAGCCTCCTCGGCTAGCATTCTGCTTAGACTCCTCAGCTAGCAGTGTGCTTAGACCCCTCAGCTAACTGTGTGCTTAGACTCCTCGGTTAGCAATGTGCTTAGACTCCTTGGCTAACTGTGCTTAACCTCCTTGGCGAGCAGTGTGCTTAGCCTCCTTGGTTAGCATTGTGCTTTGACTTCTCAGCTAACTGTGTGCTTAGACTCCTCGGCTAACTGTGTGCTTAGCCTCCTCGGTTAGCAGTGTGCTTAGCCTCCTCGGTTAGCAGTGTGCTTAGTATCCTTGGCTAACTGTGTGCTTAGCCTCCTTGGCGAGCAGTGTGCTTAGCCTCCTTAATTAGCAGTATGCTTAGCCTCCTTAGCTCGCAGTTTGTTTAGCAGAAAGGTTTTTAGCCTTTTCAGCCAGCAATGTGGCTGGTTGGCTACGTCACACACTGTATCTGCCATATGTTTTCTGAGATAGCCTTCGCTATGCCTCACAGTGTACACTCCTGGCTGGCCTGTAACCTTTTGTGGGTAGGCTCCCATTCTTTCTTGACTTTTTCATACCAGTAGATTAGTGTGAAGTTCTGGCTCAGATTTGAATGCTCACCCTGCTACATTCACCCGGTGGCCTTTCCGTCTTCGTTGTGCTTCCCCAGTGCCTGGCTTTATGTATGTTTCTGCGCTTTTCAGACTATTGTGGCTGAACAGTTACTGCTGCTGTTTTTTAGCTTCCTCATATGTCGTTGTTGAAATCTAATTGCAAAAGAAGTTATATCTCCTGTTAGTTCCAATATTGAATAAAGCGCATAAATGCACTCAATCACCTGAACCAAACCTCCATAAGAGCTTTTTGACATCTTGTCATGAATAATGTATGAACAGAAATACCTTTACAATCAAAGGTCTGATTGATGTATAAATGTGTGAATAAGTGTTGAACTTGTTAATCTTCTGTTTACAGCCAAAGTTCACTTTGTGGAGCTGCAGTGGGAGAGATTCAGAGGCGACCTCTCTTATCGGGTTTGCACAGCTGGGAGCTACAGGAGCACATGCGGCACACATACGGCACGTGGGTGCGAGGCCCACAGGCAGAGCGGGCCGGAGCTGGGTCCCGTCCCGGCGTCATCCGGCAGGGTGTATGAACACACAGGAGGAGAAGCAGGGAGTCAGAGCCTGGGAGTGCAGGGACTCCGTACTAGGAGGGCGTGGTAGAGATGCGCCTCCCTCTGTACTGGAGCGCTCTTCTTGGCTCCGGGTCGGCTTTGTGGGGTGGGGCCTGTGTGAGTCACTGGGCCTTTGATAAGGGCCTAAACCCCGCAGGAGGGGAAGGGTGTGGTACTGCAGGCTGTGCCTCAGCTGGCTGCCCTGGCACTCGTTGAGCAATAGAAGGAGCCTGTCCCCAGCTCAGCATGGGCTACTCTGACCCAAAGAAGCACCATCAGTGTATTTAGCAGTGACCAGGGAGTTTTCTCTGGTTCCGCAAAGCCCCCGTTCCTGAGCCATCCTGCGGACACAAAGACATATTAATTCTTTAGAATGGCAGAGTTACAGAGCTGGGTGAGGGTGTAAACAGGCGTTTGTCTTCCAGCCCTGGATCATTAGCCAGGAGGTCGAAGCAGTAAATCGAATGTGTAGCACAGGACTGAGGCTGCTCTTCCAGGTTTTTGGTCCTGCTCCTTCAGCAACGCCACATATGGTGGTAAAGCGAGGGTCTGAGACTGTCCTGTGTTTGTGTGCCCCCCCCCGTTGGCATGTCCCCTGATCTGCAGACTGGGCTCATTGCTTGTTTCTCTGACAGTGTTAAAGGCTGCCCTCCTGCCATTACATTCATATGGTGGGGGAGCTAACAGATATTTTTTAATGGGAACCATTGAACTGTGGATACTTTAAGGTTCTGCAGTTCCTGCATTCCCCATAGGGGGTGTGCTTTCCCACCCCTCACTCCTGCATGTTTTTAGTATTATTTCCTGGTGTTGAAGTTAGCTCAGCCCCCTATCTGCCGTGTAAGTCACACGCCCCGCATAGCTGCAGTCTGTGTCAGCCTGTTCTCTCCATACAGACATTCTGTGGCATACAGTAATTACAGCCCAAATGCACCCTCTCACTCTGATTCTACCTCCAGAATCACTCCCATGCAGCGATGCGCTAAGTATTGCACGTGCTGAGTGCCACATGCACTGCACATTGCATGTTTTCAGTGTCTCATGTGCTAAATGGGTGTCCTGAGTGATTGGTTGTCATTGTTGGTAGCTGTTGTTTATTGTCTTGCCTTTAGCGTGTAAGGATTGCATTGTGTTATGTACACTTCTCTTTGATGAATATGATTCTTTACTCTACTTTCTTTACTGTCTCTTCCTGATTACTGGTTTTTCTTCTCCCTCCTGTAAAGTGACCTTGGGACTGTGAAAGGCGCTATATAAATGTCACCTATTATTATTATTTATTCAGTAGCCACCAGTGCGCTCAGTAGCACCTCCACAGGATGCTAAGGCTGAGGCGGCTTGTGGCCATTAGAGCGTAATGGACCGCAGCCTCTGTGCTGCCTGGCTTCCTGCTCCTCATCAGCGTCTCCATCAGTTAACCTCAGGTCATTAGTGGCGGTAACAGGGGCCGGCGGACGCAGGCAGACCTCACAGGAAGAGCAGGCGGCTGGGCACCCCCTCCCACCACGGTCAGCTCCTTGCTGCCCTGTCTGCCTCGTCTGCCTCGTCTGCCCCGTCTGCCTCCATGTAGAGGCACATGTATGATCATGGCAAGAGTACATTCATTACATGCAAATTCATCACATGACTATTTGGTGTTGGTACTACTAGGTTTGACATTTCTACATTTTATTTGAAAGGGATTTAAAACCACAATTGTCTGCACAGCACTGCCTAGCGAAGGAGGAGTCGAGCAAGGTGTCCTTCTCTGCAGTGCCGGCTGTAACCGCACATCACAGGCCTGTCATTCTGGTAAAGCCGGTCTGAGTCCCCAGATCCTGCTGGGTGGTGCTGTTGTAGTTGTTCATTGTAAAGAAGGTCAGCCAGGTCTCTCTGTAGAACAAGCAGGACGCTGCTGGTGTGGGCTGTTCCTGACTGTCCAGCAGGGGATGCAGGTGCCCAGGCGCCTCTCACAACGTCTTTGGTGTTGTGTGTCTTGATGGATTCACTTGAAAACTGTAATTGACATGAAGAAACTGCAAGACTCTGTGGCCCCAGATCAGCCCCGAGGGATGCAAAACATTGCCCTCCTCCTGGAAGATTAGAGCAGCGTTTCTCAAACCAGTCCTCGGGCACCCACAAACAGTCAACGTTTTTGCTCCCTCCCAACTGTCTGGGAATTGGAAGAGAGCAAAAACATGGACTGTCTGGGGGTCCCCGAGGACTGGATTAGAAACACTGGATAAGAGTGATGAAAGCTGGTTCCCGTATGTTTCCTCAGTCAGCAGCCAGAGGTGTTGTCTCCTGAAGGCAGCACTTGGTATTTAACAGGAAACATCAGCATCAAGCTGACAGAACAGTCAGTCGGGACCTCTGATCAACCACAGGCTCAGTTACATTCATCACATGAAGAGTTTGCTCGACTCGTCAAGTTTTTGCTGACCCGTAAAGTAGCTTAAGCTCTTTTTAAAAACCAAACCACTTTGAATATTACTTGCTACTATTAGTACTGCTAATAATAATAATAATACAGAAATAGTAATAGCAATACTGCCTGGTCTGGTAGGTGGTCACACCACTGCACTGTTTGACCACAGGGGTCAGTAAAACTCGAGTGAGCCGTGTTTGATCTGGGCAGCAGAAAGAGCGAGTGGGCCTGCTTCCACACGGCTGTGTTTGCCCCTCTCCACTCTGCTCCTCCTCTATCTGCTCCCTCCTTTGACCCGTCCTACAAGCCGCCCATGTTCTAGTGCGTAATCCCGGCACGTGTCCGGCCTGCATGTGCAGATCTTAAGGCTGCCGGGTTCTTTGGCATGGCTCCCGCAAAAATTGTCTGCTGCTTCGTGCTTCCTGCTAGAGACAAACGGAGGATGTGATTCAGGAAGTGCGTGTGTCCCTCCCAGCCGCCGCACTGCACCGTGCTGTAAGAAGAGCCACCGTCCTGCCTAGAGTTCATAAGCTCCGCAGCCTCAGACTTTGCACAAGAATTTTCTGGGGTGGGTGTAAGAACAAGGGATTAAGGGAAAAAACAGCAGGAGGAGTTAAACGATGGATTACTCCTTCAGTATCCACAGAATGATGCCATTGTTTCACCCAGCCATGTTGGACAAGAAACAACATTTACAAAACAAGCAGCACATCTCTTAAGCTCCAATTCACACTGGCAATTAAAGGCCCTTTCTGCAAATGTCTGTGCAAATAAAGGCTGCTTGTGGTCTGAGGTGGGTGTTTGCTGAAGATGATCCATGGAGCCAAGTCCTCTCCATGGTGCCCCCTGTAGGTCTGGGCTGAAGATGATGAAGGCTCTTGCAGACCTGCACCTCGCACCCCAACCCTGTGGGGGCAGTAGAGGATGGCTGAGGCCAGGGGCACATGGCTTTCAGGGCACCGAGCGCAAGGCTCACTCATCACCATAATTACCCAACATGACCCACAGATTAGAATCAGGCTTCTTCACTGCGGGTGTGGCTGGGAAAGGGGAGCGGGCAGCTGCAGACGGCCGGGGTTGCGATTGCTAATGCAGCTTTGCACAAGTAGTGTGCCACTGTCTGAGATGCACCTGTGGAGGGAAATGTTTGGCTGACGTAATGCCGAGGCATCTGCACCCACACATAAGGCACAGAAACTCCCCCCCATGCCTGGGGAGGATTAAGGCCTTCCTGTCACTGGCCCCGGACTGGATGGGCAGGTTTTTCTGGGGGCCGAGATTGCCCTGCGTGGCCTCTGTCCTTGCTGCCTGGCCTGGGGCAAAGATGCATCCAGGAGCGGTGAGATCGGTATCTGTGTCTCGCGGCCTCTGCTCTGATACCTCTGGGATCTTTTTGTATGCCCTCTGCAAGACTCTGTGGCCCCAGATCAGCCCTGAGGGAGGCAAACATTGCCCTCCTCCTGGAAGATTAAAGAATCCTCTCAGTGACTTTGTTAGGGTGACCAGGCCATAGAGATTGAGGACAGTGATATGCTGTGCATGCACCAAGCCTTTAGTCTCAGTTTATCATTTTAATAAGCTCTGTTATTCTAACAGACAGTCATACATAATGCAGCCAAACATGTTGTCTGGCTATAAAAAATTAATGTACAAGATAAATCACGTTGTCTGCAATCATGGTGTCTGCTGATTCCCAACGAAGCAGTGAGCTATTTTAATATTTGCCACCACAGCTACGTTCTGTCTGCAGAAGTAACGTAATATCTGTATACCAGTGGCCCCGTCGCCGTGACCCCCATGCGCGTGAGGTTCTGGGACAGCGGCCCGGTCGCCGTGACCCCCGTGCGCGTGAGGTTCTGGGACAGCGGCCCGGTCGCCGTGACCCCCGTGC